TGAGGTTTGAGCTCTTTCAGAGCTTGCAGGTGTTTTTTCACCTTTTTTTATAGAGAAGCTCTGCATCCACCACCTATATAACCTACACCTTCATTTTCCTTTAAAAAAATGTAGGATAATTATATTTTGAGAAATTTCTAAACCCAGAGCTATACATGCTGTATATGGGTAATTCTTCAACTACGGGCACTTTTATGTCCTTTGATCATATATTCAAAAATATATAAAATTTTGTTCAAATTCCTCTTTCTTTGTCAAACTAACAATAAAACCTACTTAAAACAAATGTTATAGCTTTCTATTGTATATTTTTCACCTTTTAGGTATCAAAATCACTGTTTTCACCTTGTCGCACACCCAGAGTTTTAAACTTCAACACTGAAAACAACATTTTAAAATATTATTTATTATGGTATCTATTAATGTATCTTAATTAAGCACTAGTGAAAATATTTAAATATTTTATAGTTATTAATGTGAGACTATTATCAATATTGTTTTTTATACAAAATATAGCTGTCACACAGTATCAGTGTCATTTCCACCACAACACTGTAATGTTGCTTTAAAAAGTGTGTGTGAAAGATTATTTAGATGTTTTCTGTGAAAATGAATAGTGCCATCTGAGAATATCTTCAAGGTGGAGGCAATTTAAACTTTTATCAACAACACTTGAAGAAAAATCAAGGTAAATATTGCTTGATAAGGAAATACATTTATTCTACGTCATTTCCAAACATGTTGTACCTTCAAAGATGTTTTTAAAAAACCAAACAAAATGAAGGTAAATAAGAGTGTTTTGTATACATGGAATGCTAGTATCAATTCAAAGCTAATCGGTGAAGCTACTTTTAGTTTTTTCACAATAAACTGTTGAAATGTCACTTCCATCACTGTCATTTCCACCACCACACACATTTTTTAAAAATCTATAATAAGTTTTCATCAAACATTAAAAGTGTATTCACAATGTATAAGTTCATGCTCTACTTAATATACAAATTCAGTTTATTTGTTTTCTAATAAGCTCTTAACCAAATTAATGTTAAATTTTAGAGCGTGACAATTCAGCATACAACTAATTTATTTCATTGACAAATGTATAATTATTATATATATTGTGGAAAGATTTGGTTAAACTAGATATAAAAATGATCTTGGACAGTGTTTGACTGCCATCATTTATTTCACTTTCAAATAAATCTGTATATTGAGAATTGGTGGAATTTGTTCAGTTCACGATGGAAACAAAAGTTCTCCTTTTATCTAAGTTTGTCCTCTTACAGATCTTAAACCTAGACAATTTGTTTAAACTTATGAGGCTATGTTATTGTAATTTTAAACAAGTTTCTTTTTTTTTTACTCAGCTTCACAAGGCTAAAAGTGCCCGTAGTTGAAGAATGGCCCATATACAGAATAATGAAAGCATGTAAAGTAACGTGTTTGCTACTTTTGAATGTTTTGTGCTATTAGTTAAGTACATTCACTGTCCATTGAGTTAAAGACTGCAATAAAGCCAAGAGTACTACCATGGAATAAATTATTAAGGCAAAAGCAGATTTAAACCGTTAAAATGTTTAAAAACAAAATGAACAGTAAGATGATAAAAAAACATCTCCAAATCAAAATAAATCTTTGAGCTTTATACAATAATTACTTTTCTTCTTGTGGCCTTAACAAATGTGTAAATCGTTTCCCAAAAAAGAAAAAGTCACATCTGCAGTAACAGTAGACAGTGGCTGCGTCTCCTCAATAATAAAAGCAACAACTATTTTTTCGTTTAGTCAAATTTATTGTTTTACCTGGAGAAGGCGAACTGATGTCAATCATTTGTTGTTTAGCTGGAGGTGGGGTGTGGATGTATTGCTTCGTATGCTTTTTTTTTTCGATGTCATGTTTCTTGCAGTTGTCAAGAGTTTTACCTACACATAATCTACACTTAGTGACAATTCACTTCTTTTCTTCGATGAGTTCAAAATAACAAGAATCCATTGCAAAAATGTAAGTCTCCGGCCTGCCATTATGACTTTCGTTAGTGATGACAGACAATTCGCAAATGAATCGTTTGTTTCAACTGAATCTTCTAAGTGAACCGGTCGAACTAGTTCATTAAATTGAATGAAGTTGTTGTGAAACAGTTTGCATTTTCAGTAAGTACTAACATACCTGATACTCCCTCTGACTCGAAATAAACCCATATCCTGAGTTATTCAGTTACCAGAACAGTACACGGACTCATCTGCTGTGTAAAAAATAGACCTGATGATGAAAATAATGATGAGTGCGAGTCGACTGTTTGTTCCCTCGCAGCATTGAGTGTGTGATTCAACCTAGGGTAATTTTTATTCCGCAATATGTTTTTTAAAGCCAATAAACTCGCATATTTTTTTTTTTAAAGTAACTCAAATAATATTGCTTATTTTTAAAAGTAATGTGTTACTTTAGTCGTTCCTTTGGAAAAGTAATATTATTACTTAACGCCCGTTACTTATAATGCGTTACCCCCAACACTGAAAAGGAATATTGAACACGTCACTACATTTCTTAGAAAACATATTTCTAAAGGTGCCGTTGACTGTAAATTTTTAACGAATGTTGGTAACATCCAAAGAAATTAATGTATAAAAAATCTAAACTAATTAGTTTGCAAATTAAGTTATGCGTAATAAGATCAAATGACACAGAGACAAAGTATTGAACACATGAAGAAAGGAAGGTGTAGAACGGCATTGAAAGCCCAGACAGCAGCTGCAATCTCCCAGTAGTTCCTCAGCAACCCCCTGCACTTCCTTATTGTAAATGAATTTTAGCTGCTTCAGTCCAGCATCTACATTAGCAGAAGGATGAAGATAAAACTTACTGGCATGTTATATTCTGAAATAAATTCAATGTAATATTTTAATAAAAATTGTTTTAGGCTACATCACTTCCTTTAATCCCGCTTGCAGCATTATTTAGAAGGCGACAACAAACGGTATACGAATGGTATACGGCCAGCTGGAGTTTGTTGGAAGAATGTGTTGTCTCTCACATATATAATGTAAAGTTTTATTTTATTATTATTATTTTTATTATTAGTTTATATTGTGTGTGGATTCTGCATCCAGCTGCACATTGCATGTTTGAAGCAAAAAAAAAAAAAAAAAAGACAAGCACACATATCTCCAGTCGATCGATGCTTCTCCGCATGCATGGTTTATTTTCCTATATTCAGTTTTCTGACATGTCCATGAGTGATGAAGTCATACTCTGACATCAAGTCATCCTGTGGGAGATCTGCATCAGACTGAAGTCTTCATAAACCCTGCGCTCTGAATACAGTTAAGCTGGTTTTATTAGCGTCTTAACAGCCTCCAGGTGTTTGCTCATGGACACGTCTGGAATGGGCTGTTAATAAGGCCAGGCTGTGACAGAAGCTCTTGACTTTATTGGCTAAACAAACCAACCTCTCGACTCTCCTGATGGAAACACTCTTGGGTCAGATGTGATTTCACTGAGTGGGTCATGAGGGCAGAGAAAAACGGTCAACCTGCTGAGCCATGGGAATGCTTTATGTGTGTGGGTATATGTCTGTGTATATATATATTTTTTTTTTTTCAATGTACATAACTTATGTTTGTGTGTGTGGATGGTTTGATTTGATTTGATTTGATTTGATTGATTGATTGATTGATTGATTGTCTTGGTTTTTATTAATATGGGAAAACAAAATGCAAAACTACATAGCCCTGTATGAAAAAGTGTTTACCCCCTATACCTAATAACTAGTTTGGCCACTCTTGGCAGCAACTACTGGAATCAAACATTTTCAATAGTTGCAGTAAGTTTGTTACAGTACTGTGGATGAATTTTGGCCCACTTATCTTTGCAGAATTGTTGTAATTCAGCACATCGAAGGGTTTTCGACCATGAACTGCCTTTTTAATGTCAGCATCTCAATTGGATTGAGGTCAGGACTTTGACTAGGCCACTTGAGAATCTTCTTTTTGTTTTCATTCAGCCATTCAGAAGCCCTGCTGCGGTCACTAACAGATGGCTGGACATTCTGCGCACACACACACACACACACACACACACACACACACACACACACACACACACACACACAAACACACAGTTGAAATCAGAATTATAAGCCCCACTTCTATTTTATATACATACATATATATATATATATATATATATATATATATATATATATATATATATATATATATATATATATATATATATATATATATATATATATATATATATATATATATATATATATATATATATATATATATATTTTTTTTTTTTTTTTTTTTTTTCTTCTGGAGAAAGTCTTATGTGTTTTATTTTAGCTAGAAAAAAGCAGTTTTACATTTTTTAAAAAACATTTTAAGGTCAACATTATTAGCCCCTTTAAGCTATATATTCTTTCAATAGTCTACAGAGCAAACCATTGTTATAACCTAGTTTAGCCTTTAAATGTCACTTTAAGCTGTATAGAAGTGTCTTGAAAAATATATAGTCAAATATTAAGTACTGTCATCATGGCAAAGATAAAAAAGCAGTTATTTGAGATTAGAGAGTCATTAAAACTATTATGTTTAGAAATGTGTTATAGAAATATCTTCGTTAAACATAACTTGGGGGAAAATTAAACAGGGCAGCTAATAATTCAAGGGGGCTAATAATTCTGACTTCAACTGTGTGTGTGTGTGTGTGTGTATATATATATATATATATATATATATAACATCTTTTAAAATATATGTACTTGTCTGTGTTACATCTTTTGTATATATACATATGTGTGTGTGTGCGTGCGTGCGTGCGTTCATTCGTTCGTTCGCACTTATATTTGTTAAAATGATTAGGCTAACTTGATCAATGTGTGATGGGACAGCATGAAGGAATGTTTTTTCAGTGTATCATGGAGCGCTGCAATTGACAATGTCTCTTTTGGCTGCAGTATGTTAATGTTGTTTATAATGTTGTTTGTGTCTCTCCAGGTATCGGTGGCCTAGAGGACGTCATCCTGAAATCAGCCACCATCTCCACATCTCCAGCATGTCCACCTTTCACACCGCTTAACTTTGAGGCCACCCCCATCGTCAGAGTCGCAGTCGAGCCCAAACATCCAAGTATGTAAAACCAGATGCTCAAACATGCAACACGAGCACTAGTTTTCATCACAGGGACAGGTGAAGCGTTGTGGAACACATACAATACATAACAAATAAGAGAAGTGTGGAAGAGCGCATTGAATCACCACGATGACTCAACAGTAAAAATGAACAAGTCGCTCAGAACAGTTATTTTTTCTCTGCCCTTGAGCTAGTCGTGCTTCTGCATGTAATAGAAACTTTTTAGGTATATGTTTAGTAAGCTTTTTTCCTGTTTGCAGTGATTCATGTTACACAATGTATTAAGGAGGCAGCCTTACATAATATATATATATATATATATATATATATATATATATATATATATATATATATATATATATATATAGTTTAAGTTTAAGTCAGAATTGTTAGCCCTCGTGAATTATTATCCCCCTGTTAATTTTTCCCCAATTTCTGTTTAACAGAGAGCAGATTTTTTCAACATTTCTAAACATAATAGTAAAACCTCTTACCTTAAAAGATTTAAAGTGTGTTTCCTACAAAAAGACAAAGCTGGTTATGTTTCACAGCTGTCTTTTTCTTTTTTTTCTCGCTTGACATTACGAGGACTGCTCCGTTTGAGCTCTCGCAATCTGCGTTTAGCCGGGAGAGCGGAGCTCTCAGTAAGGGACCGTCGGAAAAGTGCTTATTTTTATTTTAAATTTTTTGCTCCCTCCTGCGCGTTTTATTTTAAACACAATTAATTTTCTCTTTAATGAGCACAAACAGTTACTAAAGTAGTCGAATGCTTCATTATAGATCTGTGCATTCTTACATTAACACATCTGTTATCAAACAAAACACAATGAGAGATTAATTTGCTGCTCTTCACTTAATAACTATAGTAACTTAAATCAATATGCAAATACAATAAAAGGTGAAATAGATTTTATAGCTTTATTTAATTTCTGTAAAGGCCATTGTTTTTAATAGGCTAAACCTTTTATTTTATTGTTAATATTTTCTAATGTTTGCTATGTATTCTATCATTTTAAGCTATATGTTGTCCCATATTTTTTACATCCCAACATTGGCAGATTGCTAATCAATAAATAGCTATAGTGCTATCTGTTAGTTTTAACTTCAGCTACTGTTATGGAAGGGCATAGATGTTATGGAAAATAGTAATAGTAATGTAACTACCCCCATCATTCCTTCCTCAAGCAAATGTGTAAATATTAGATCTATTCAGCTATAACAATAATTGCATTGGCATATTTATCTGACGTTTTCCCAGCTTGTAGTGGTCGATCAAAAAGATGTTTAGTTTTTTCATGAAACCCTTAAAACTTAAATGAAACCTGACAACAAAACATTCTGAATATGTCAACAAAGGTTGATCATATTCTCTTCTGAAAAAAGAAGATTATCTTCATCAACAAAACAATGATCACAGTTACAGCCAGCATCCCACTAAAAGCACTTTGAGCTAGAGGTCTGTCTAAATTTCCGAATAAATCGCGGGAGCGGTCGGTAACGGGTTTAATTTGGGACGGGAGCGGGCTGTCTAGCAATATCGCGGATATTGCTATGCGAATGAGAGAGAGAGAAAGAGAGAGAGCTTTCCCAGATAGCTAAATACACTCGGGCCAGTTCCGGCTAGATTCTCGCCTGCCGGAGACGTATCACTCAGCCCGGCTCCGGCTGCCGGACTCGGGCCGGATGCTTGTGGACTCACTGCCTGATTCCGGCCCGAATCAATCGGGCCAGATGCGGCGGCCGTAAGCGAGCCGACGCTGCCGCATCCGCGCCGGAATCGGCCCGAGAGTAATGTGCGCTGCGGCCCGGAGCTGGCGCGACTCAGTATTTATATACCTTTATATAAAACCTTTTGGTATTACATTGTTACTTGATACATGGTATTACAACCCTTTGATTTGATATAACAGCAAACGCCTGTGTTTCTGCTTGGTGCTTGTGTGTGTGTTAGTGCGCACGCATATGAGAAAGAGAGAGCTTTGTCTGTGTGTGTGTGTGTGTGTGTGTGTGCTTGGTGCTGTGTGTGTGTGTTTATACAGACAGCTTGGCTGTCTGGACTGTATAGCTGGGTGATTTCCAGCTTTGTTCTCCCCCTCTCTTTAGCAGGATCGGGCGCGGCGGCCAGAAAACGGGGCGGGTCGGGCAACGGGACAACAAATTCTTAATATAAGCGGGAGCGGTTGGGTTCGGGCTAAAACCTGGCGGGTGCGGGCGGGAGCGGGATTCAAAATTTAGTCCCGCGCAGATCTCTACTTTGAGCCTCATTTTGTGTATATCAAATCGCAAAATCCAAACAGCCACATACCGTATATTTTGACTACTTTGAATGGATACATTTTTTTCTACCAATTTTTCCATATTAAAATATTATGGTAGGTCTTGAGATTGAATTACTTGCCTAAGTGGGTCCATATCGAAAAAAATATAGCTTAACAGTTTTGACCTTAAAATGTTTATTAAAAAATTAAAAACTGTTTTTATTCTAGCCAAAATAAAACAAATAAGACTTTTTCCAAAAGAAAAATTATTATCTAACATACTGTGAAAATTTCCCTGCTCTGCTAATAGTCATTTGGGAAATATAAAAAAATTATAAAAATAAACATAAATAAATAAAAAGGGGGGCTAATAATTTTGGCATTAGATGTATGTTATGATTTCATTAGCATTACATTTATGCTTTTACAAAATAAATCAAAATAGGTTGCATATAAGATAAAAAAGCAAATATATACATACATAGACATACATGTATATAACTTTACTGTTTGCGCTCTATCATTTTATTTAAAAAATATAATGTACGTTTCTTTTTTTATTTATATAGTATGTAATAAAGACACATCATGTAATTGCATATTTTATTTTTAAGTTTTTTTTGGTGTTTGATTAAATAAAATTTTAAATATTTAAAATTGAATTTGATATTAATTATTTTTCCATATATATATATATATATATATATATGTATATATATATATGCATTTTTCTTTTTTATTTCATTTTTATTTATTTAAGTTATGAAAAGAACACAGTTCAATTACGTATTGTATTTTTTAAAAGTTGCTGTTTTATGTTGTTTTTTTACTTTCATGAATATAATTTTATTGTATGTCTATTGGTTTTTCTGTTGTTTAAAAATGTGTGTGTGCAGTTTTTTTATCATTTAGCAGACCCCCTAGTTGTTTGCGAATATGTGATCCAACGCAAAATCAACAAATGTTGCAAATCAATATTGCTAAATAATTTTTAGCATAAAATAGTCGTAAAACTGTAAATAATCTTATAAAACATCAAATTCTAAACCTTAAAGTCAATTTATATTTATTTCAGTTTGCAATTAATTGTTTTACATGACTTATAAACGTCGCATATGCATCGCACATGAAAATGACATCTTGCACATAAAAATGACATCTCACCTGCGCCCTCACAATCACTATATTATCTGGAGCAGAATTGTTTTTCAGCCTGTGCAGTAAGCAGATGCAGATGAACCACAAGGGATTTACATGTAAAATCAATGCAAAGATTGCATTAGACATCCTGAGGTGCGAATAGGGCGTTTTGTGTGTTTGATGTGCTTCAGACTGCAAAAGAAAGTGTGAACAAACATCTAACAAATGGAGTAATGAAACAGACAGAAAAGCAAGCAGCTTACAATGATGGAGATTGATTCAAGGATGACGACCGCTGGATGTGACCGAATTGAAGAACATTATTTGAGCTTTACATGTTTGGCTGGCATTATGTGCGTCAAATCGATAAATGATTTTGTTTAACTCTTTCCCTCCAGATAAAGAGAGAAAACATTGTCGAGTTTTATGGCAATCCATGTGTTAGGTGTATTACGTTAGGGTAAGCCAGAGCGCATGTCCTGAATGAGGTACATGATGTCATATGGGAACAAAATCTGAGTAGGATTAGAGTTATACTACCATCCTTTAGCTTAATCACTACCATTTTAGATCTGTTTTAGATATTGTCTTGACAAGAGACCAAAATAAAGAAGATATATATATATATATATATATATTTTTTATCGCTAAATTGTCCACAAATTTCTGGGAATTACCATCACAAAATCAGTCAGTTTTATTGCAAAAAAATCACAAAAGAAATCATCAAAAACTGATTTAGCATTGTTCACAATACTGCATGTGAGCAGCTCATTAGTTCTGGCTATAGAGTCGGTGAATAACTGAGAAATAAAGAATCAGCATGAGCGCTTAGATGAAATCATCATGTCTCATGGGTCCCTAACGCGCAGACGTCCTTCAGAAAGGTGTTTTAATAAAAGTTCACTCAGAGGTGCTGTTGTGATCCTCATTAGCAGTGTCACAGAAGGCTTGGAAACTCATCTCTCGCTCACGTGGGACGCATTAGTCAATGGGCAAGTGAAACATTTCTCAGTTTAGTCTGATCTGAATCCTGCAAAATCACACAGAGCTCATTGTGAGAGTCTTTTCAGGGGTTTGTTTCATAAGTCTAACTTCAGCTTGTCTTGAGGTCAGCAGGGGCCAGTGCTGCAGAAAACACTCTTTATTAAAGCAGAGTCAGTGCTGGTGTTAGTGCTGTCGGGCCCATATGTGCACAAAACTGCTCACTTTGATGTGTTGTTTGAAGAGAGAATAACAGGCTGTTTTATAGAGGTCACGTCATGCATTTTTTATCATTTTGTTGTTTTTCTTTTGAGGCTTGCTTCTAATGTTAGTCAAGTTCTTTGCACCCAAAACTGTACAAATTTGCACCCAAAACAGTCAGAATGCGTTCTTGCTAAGTAAAAGTATTTAAACCTTGTATTTATATCTTGCTTTGGTCCAAAATTTGACTAACATTACCCCAAGAGCTCATTGACAGCTCATGCAAGCAGTCACAATAGACCTCACAACAACATCAAAAGAACTGCAGGCCTCACTTACCTCAGTTAAGGCGAGTGTTCATGACTCCACCATAAGAAAGGTGAGTGCTCATGACTTCACCATAAGAAAGGTGAGTGTTCATGACTTCACCATAAGAAAGGTGAATGTTCATGACTTCACCATAAGAAAGGTGAGTGTTCATGACTTCACCATAAGAAAGGTGAGTGTTCATGACTTCACCATAAGAAAGGTGAGTGTTCATGACTTCACCATAAGAAAGGCGAGTGTTCATGACTCCACCATAAGAAAGGTGAGTGTTCATGACTTCACCATAAGAAAGGTGTGTTCATGACTTCACCATAAGAAAGGTGTGTTCATGACTTCACCATAAGAAAGGTGTGTTCATGACTTCACCATAAGAAAGGTGTGTTCATGACTTCACCATAAGAAAAGTGAGTGCTCATGACTCAACCATAAGAAAGGTGAGTGTTCATGACTCCACCATAAGAAAGGTGAGTGTTTATGACTTTACCATAAAAAAGGTGAGTGCTTATGACTTCACCATAAGAAAAGTGTGTTAATTATTCACCATAAGAAAGGTGAGTGTTCATGACTCCACCATAAGAAAGGTGAGTGTTCATGACTTCACCATAAGAAAGGTGTGTTCATGACTTCACCATATGAAAAGTGTGTTCATGACTTCACCATAAGAAAAGTGAGTGTTCATGACTCCACCAAAAGGAAGGTGAGTGTTCATGACTCCACCATAAGAAAGGCGAGTGTTCATGACTTCACCATAAGAAAGGTGTGTTCATGACTTCACCATAAGAAAGGTGTGTTAATTATTCACCATAAGAAAGGTGAGTGTTCATGACTTCGCCATAAGAAAGGTGAGTGTTAGTGACTCCACCATAAGAAAGGCGAGTGTTCATGACTTCACCATATGAAAAGTGTGTTCATGACTTCACCATAAGAAAGGTGAGTGTACATGACTCCACCATAAGAAAGGTGTGTTAATGACTCTACCATAAGAAAGGTGAGTGTTCATGACTCTACCATAAGAAAGGTGAGTGTTCATGACTCCACCATTAGAAAGGTGAGTGTTCATGAATCCACCATAAGAAAGGTGTGTGTTCTGGACTTTACCATAAGAGAAGTGAGTGTTCATGACTTCACCATAAAAATGGTGAGTGTTCTTGACTTCACTTAAAGAAATGTGAGTGTTTGTGACTCCACCCTAAGAAGGAAACTGGGAAAATATAGTTTGCATGACCGTTTCAAGACAAAAACCTTTTGAGCAAAAAGAACAAAGACTCATCTCAGTTTTTCCAGAAAATATCTTGATGATCTCTAAGACTGATAGAAATGCTCTTAAGAATGACGAGAAAAAGGTTGAACTTTTTGGAAGGTCTGTGTCTCATTATGTGTGGTGTAAAAGTAGCACTGCCTTTCAGAAAAAGAACATTATACTAACAGTAAAATGTGGTTAAGGTGGATGTATAATAATGTTATAACAATTCTTCAAAGATTATTTGGCCAAAGTTCCCCCACAGCGCTGTTACGGGCTCATTGTAAGTTATCAAAAATGCCTGATTATATTTGATTAATTTTATTAAAAAAAAATTATGCTAGTTGTAAAAATTAAAAATTAAAATTAGTTAAAAAAAATTGTTAAAAGATTAAAATTATAATTCAAAATTGAACCTCTCTTTTTTTAATACTTTGATTTATGAGTTTACTTTTCTCCATCCTTCATCAGTCTTTTCTCAAAACTGCATCACATGGACTGGTTCACAAAATGGAATCTAGAGTCACATTAACGTGAGCTTATGCATTTGTGTGTGTGCAGGTGAGATGCCGAAGCTGGTGCGAGGTATGAAGCTGTTGAACCAGGCTGACCCGTGTGCTGAAGTGTTGATTCAGGAGACAGGAGAGCATGTTCTGGTCACTGCAGGGGAAGTACATCTACAACGCTGCCTGGATGACCTGAGAGAGAGGTGACAAAAACCACACACTCATAGGCTGTATATAAAATTGCCTCTAATACTCTTTAAGTGTGCGCTATAGTGAGCTCCCTGGCCACCGTAATGGACCCATTCTGCCTTGTAGGAGTTGCTTTGTCACATTCGACATTATTAAAAGTGCTATTCTGTAGAAATGAAGATTAAATTAGCTGCATCAAGTATTTAGGGACTACTAGAGTATCATTAGCGACCATGTCTATTCTTTTATGACCAGAGTCAACTATTTCCACTTGGATAGTATGCCAAGACACCGCATTCAAATGATCTCTAACGTATATCTCCTATAAGAAGCTTTTATTCACATACAACTTGAAAATTGCATGTCCGAACACTGAGCCTTGCTGTACTCCATAATGAATTTGATCAAACTTGACTGTCAACTTTCCACGGTCAGCATATGTCAGTCCGGTAGAGCACTTTTGGCATGTGCTGGAATGGCAGATTCATATATCCATGAATTTGAAACATCCACACCAACTGTGTGACGCTCTCATGTCAGCATGAACTGCAATCTCTGAGGAATGTTTCCCACACCTTGCTGAATCTATGACACAAAGAATTTAAAGTATGCGCAGTCAAAATGAAGTGACCAGCCCTACTGTATTGCTTTGGGTCTCCACTGAGATCTGAGATTGGCTGAAGTCTTTAGGTTAATTAAACTGCATATTGTAACAGAAGACTAGACCATGACTGCTGCCATGTAGATACTCACACTGGGACCGCTTCGGCCTTGTTTTGTTCACTTGTCTGCTTTATATGATTCCAACAGCATGTAAATGTCTGGCTAAAATGCAATATTCAACAAAAAAATCATCATATTATTAATTCAGAATTTACTGTACAGCTGCATGGATTTCGATTGTCAAGAAGACAAAAAAGCAAGAAAGGTGTTTGAATTTGACTGAATTAATTAATCAATTAATCAATGAATTAATTTATTTATTTAATGGTGTATTTGTTTATTATGATAAAACATCTATGGTGAGGAATTAAAGAGTCAGTTTTGAGGATTTGCTTATGTGTGGTGATCTATGATGATGATTATGATGATTATTATTATTATTGATAATAATAATAATAATAATAATTATTATTATTATTATTATTATTGATGACAATGTTATTTGCAAGAACAATAATCATTTATTGTTAACCAGGGATACTACTACTGCTAATAATAATAATAATAATAATAATAGTATTAGTAATAATAATAATAATGATAATAATAATAATGATAATAAAAATAAATAAATACACAAACAATTCATTAAAACTGACTCTTTAATTTCTCACCATAAATATTTTATTATAATAAATAGATAATTTGTCTATTTATGCAGATATACTACTACTGCTAATAATAAATAAATTGAGTAATTAATTAATAAACAAGCAAATCGTCAAAAACTGACTCTTTAATTCCTAACCATAAATGTTTTATCATGATAAATAAATAATTTGTCTATTGTTAAACAGTTATACTACTACTGCTAAAAATAAACCAACAAACAAAAAAACAAACGAATCATAAAAACTGACTCTCTTTAATTCTTAACCATAAATGTTTTATCATGATAAATAAATAATTTGTCTATTGTTATGCACATGTACTACAACTGTTAATAATAATAATAATATAAATATAAATAAATAAATAAATAAATAAATGAATGAATGAATGAATGAATGAATGAATGAATGAATGATTAAAATACTAATACAATAACTGTTTAAAGAAATACATAAATCATTATTATTTTTGTTGACGTTGCTAAATCTAATAATGTGACATTTTTCAAAATACACTTTAACTAGTAATGGAAAATTAAATGGAAATATGTGCACCGAGAGAGGCAAAATTTCAGTCTTGGTCATTAAGATTGAAAAATCATTATTGAATGCTATTTGTTAAATGACATGCTAACAATTAGATAAGATTTTGATTATTATGTATTTATTTATTCTGATGAAATATTTATGTGTTGAGGAGTTAAAGAGTCAGTTTTGATGTTATTTGTTGTTTTTCATTTATTTGTTTATTTATTTTCTTTATAGGCCTTTTGCTTTTGTTTTTTTGTTTTGCTGCAACTTTTCTTTCCCCCGTTCTCCATCCTCTCATACTATTTCTCCTTGTCTCTCTCTGTAGTCATCTATCATTCCGTGTTTCTCTCTGGTTTCACTGCGGCGGGTTGCGGATCAATATTTCTTGATGTCGGGTCTATGAGTGTTGATCCTCCTGTACTATTGCAGAGCTTAGACTAATTCACACCTCTGGAGTTTCAACTCAACACAAACTGCCTCGCAAAAATTATTCATAGCTCAGATGAGTCACAGTTTTCGCTTGGATTGTTCCAGGTTTTCTACCTTTCGTGACATTGTGAATGCGGCATTCGAGCAGTCAGGGGATTTTTGACTTTTGTTTCTCAGGAATACTTGATTGTGATTGGTTGATCACAAGCTCAACATAGCTATAGACTGTAAAAAATAATTCTCAGGAATAACTGATTATAATTGGATGATCGCCAATAAGAGGGCGGCACAGTGGCTCAGTGGTTAGCACTGTGGCCCCACAGCAAGAAGGTCACTGGTGAAGTCCCTGCTGGGCCAGCTGGCATTTCTGTGTGGAGTTTGCATGTTTTCCCAATGTTCGTGTGGGTTTCCTTCGGGTGCTCTGTTTTCCCCAACAAAGTCCAAGGACATGTGGTATAGGTGAATTGGGCTAAATTGTCCATTGTGTATGTTTGTGAACGAGAGTGTATGGGTGTTTCCCTGTGATGGGTTGCAGCTGAAAGGGCAATCGCTGCATAAAACATATGTTGGATAAATTGGCAGTTCATTTCGCCGTGGCGACCCCTGATTAATATTAGGGATTTATAAAGCATGAATAGTCCTCACTTTAGTTTAGGTCACAAAACTAGATGAAGTTGAGTTAATAAAGCATTTATTTACATAAATAGCAACCATTAATATATGCCTGAATAATAAGACATATAAACGTTGATTTCAATAGTTTATTAATCATTTATTAACTCATTCTGAATGATCCTAAAAACCCTCAACTACTCTTAAATACAAATGGTTTGTAAATAATGTGATACTTCATCTAGTATTGATTAAATAATTAAATAAATCATTAACTAAGTATGAAAATACAATTATTAAGCACATTTAAAAAAATTTTGTAAGTCAAGAATAGAGAATTTGAAGCTGCAGTTATAAACTGCTTACTAAGGCTTATTAATGTAGAGAACACTATTAAATTCACTATTTGCTACTGCTAATAAATGATTTATAGTGTAGTTATTATAATGTGTTACCAAGATATTTTGAGGAATGCTGGCATCCTGTTAGCCAAAGACATCCATTACATTTAACGTCAGAATTATAAGCCCCCCCCCCCCCCCTTTTTTTTTTTTTTTATTTCCCTATTTCAGTTTAACGGAAAGTTTTTTTCCAACACATTTCTGATCATAATAGTTTTAATAACTCATTTCTAATAACTGATCTGTTTTATCTTTGCCATGATGACAGTCAATAATATTTGACTAGATATTTTTTAAGACACTTCTATACGGCTTAAAGTGACATTTAAAGGCTTAACTAGGTTAATTAAGCTGGTTAGGTTAATTTGGCAAGTTATTGTATAACGATGATTTGTTCTGTAGACAATCGAGAAACATAGATAGCTTAAAGGGGCTAATAATATTGACCTTAAAATGTTTTCAAAAAAAAATGTAAAATTGCTTAATAAAATAAATAAAACATATAAGACTTTCTCCAGAAGAAAACATATTATCAGAAATACTGTAAACATTTATTTCCCTGTTAAGTAACATTTGGGGACAAAATTCAATGTTGGGCTAATAATTCTGACTTTAACTGCATATACAGTATATAGAGTTGAAGTCATAATTATTAGCCCCCCTTTAAATTTTGTTTTCTTTTTTAAATATTTACCAATTGATGTTTAATAGAGCAAATAAATGTTCACAGTATGTCTGATAATATTTTTTCTTCTGAAGAAAGTCTTATTTGTTTTATGAAGGCTAAAATAAAAGCTGTTTTTTAATTTGTTAAACACCATTTTAAGGTCAAAATTATTAGCCCCTTTAAGCTACAGTATATATTTTTTTGATAGTCTACAGAACAAACCAGCATTATACAATAACTTGCCTAATTACCTTAACCTGCCTAATTAACTGAATTAATCTAGTTAAGCCTTTAAATGTCACTTTAAGCTGTTTAGAAGTGTCTTGAAAAATATCTAGTCAAATATTATTTATTGTCATCATGGCAAAGATAAAATAAATCAGTTATTAGAGATGAGTTATTAAAACTTTTATGTTTAGAAATGTGTTTAGAAAAATCTTCTTGCCGTTAAACAGAAATTGTACAAAAATAAACAAGGGGGCAAATAATTCTGACTTCAACTGTATATACGCAGATATATATATATATATATATATATATATATATATATATATATATATATATATATATATATATATATATATATATATATATATATAAAGAAAAACACATGGATCACAAAATTTAGAAAGCTGTTAAATTAAGAAAATAACTACAGCCAGAAATTATATTTATTTATTTATTTATTTTTGTTAGAAATTAAAATAATTCAATAGTATCTTCACTGCAAGAACACTTTTCTTGCTTAGATTTTTTATATTGTTTCTAGTCTAAATATCAAATTGTGATATTGATGCTCAAACGATATATTGGTTGGGAATGCAATGCAAAAAATGCTTTTCTTACTTAGATTTTTTTATCTTGTTTTTAGTCCAAATATTTAAAAATTCTTAAATCAAAATTAAGCAAAATAATCATGTTTTTCCTTTCGACATGAGATTATTTTGCTTACCCCACTGGCAGACTATTTTGCTTTTTTTAAGGAAAAACTCACTCAATTTTGGCATATTATTTCTTAAAATAAGACAACGTGTTTTGCT